AGGGGAAGGGAAGTCGCCATGCTGCCGACCGACCATCCAAACTGAGCTGGTGTGTTGCATTGGCCCTGTTCGATAGCACTTTGGGGCCCCCACGATGCAACCATTTGGTTTGGCTCTGTCGCCCAAATGGTTCAGCGTCGCGACAAAATGCAAGTGGTAGGACAGCGCCGGCAGTGTAATCATTTTGGCCGACCCGAAGACGGCCGAGGTGGTCGAAAAGCTCCACCTCAACGGCCCTTTGAAGCGGACTGTTTCCAGCCGCGGGGTCTGCCCGGGGGTTCGACGGTCTACGTAAAAACAAAAGCCCCACCCAAATGTTTGTGCTGAAAATGTATAGAGTATTCCAGATCGGTTCCAGCATTAGTTAGGTGTGTCGAAAGGATTTTTGGTGCAACTGGTTTATACCTTTTGTTTGGCGCGACTATCCCTAAATAGCCCATTGGTCTGGCATTGGGGCCACTTATTTGAAAAGTAACATTGGCAATGGTCTGGTAATGGTCTGAAATTTTACCAGGGATGGGCTGTAATGATTAGTCGACAGTCACTGTTACTGCGCGCTGTGGTGTCAAACCACCCCGTTAAAATTCCCGCCATGTTTTAGCAGCTGGGCGGGAAACCAAGGACATCGCAGGGGGGTCGTTCGCGCTGGCGGGAATTATGACTCGTCGCAGGGGGTCGCAAACCGTTTCCCGCCCAACCAACGAGGTCACCTCAAAGCGTTTCTGGCGGGGTTACCCTCGCTGTCGAACAGGGCCCAAGTTAGCCTGTAAGTGATGCGTGTGATGTGAGTCCCCCCACCGACACTTGCAACGTGGATTGCTTGAACGGCTGCGATGGAAGACCACTGAACTCCACTGACCAACCCGCCCAAGCCTGACATTTTACGGCTTGGCTTGGGTGGTTCGATCACGAACCACAACACACCTCCCCGCCCCCCCCCCCCCCCTTACCTCACCAACCCATCCGTGGTTTCCTTGTCCCCATCAGTGATGGTTTCTGGATCATAAGTCGCTGCTCAGAGCTGCAGTAACATTGCCCAGCCCCCAACCTTCTCGTTTCGAATACCTGCATCTCAAGGCGTGTCAGTCAAATTCAGCTGGTACCGTTTGTTCTTCAGGTACCGGTTCCAGCTTTTGCTACTGACAAGCTTGAAGGCGCTTAGACCATTCATAAGGAGCTAATTAAACATATTCAATTTCTTGGTTCGATCGCAACACTATGGCGCGAATGTCGGGCGCTGCTAGGTTGCTCTCCGTTCGAGTCGTGTACGGACTGTTGCTTGCCCTGGTGCTGTTTGCCGCGCTCCACGTTGACGCCTTGCGGCAAGCGTCGCCCACCGGGCGACCGACGCGGGACCTGATGCTCAAGGAGATTAAGGTGGCCACGTCAGTCGTTAAGCAAAAGCCGGGCTATAAGAGAGTCGCTACACTAATCCAAGTGGGACGTAAGTACAAGTACAGTAACTGGTTGCACTCGAAATATTATTTAAGCTCCAAATGATTATTTTTTGCATATGTCGCGTGCCTGCCTCTAATCTGTCTGCCTATCAAAGTCGAACTCCTTCTTTGGCCTGCAGTAGCAACAGTCCTGCCAGGCGATTGAAGGCCCAAGTGCCCTTTATTGTATCTTGTCTCTTTACAGTAAAAACGGTCCAGTGAGCGGTCCCAAGTTAGAGTTCCCGACCTCGTGAAGGAATCAAGGCGGATATTGCTTACTGAGGGCGGCTGAAGCGGTTGATCCCTCAGGACGATGCGCGCCGAACGAGAGTTCAAGCATTTTTGTTGTTTTGGATTCCGTCATACTTCAATTACATACCACTGTTGTTTAATCTACGCCCCCCGCTCTGCTCCACCCTCCCCCACGACCTCCTTCCACCCCAGTCCCGAAAGCTCCGAAGAAGTATGATATCACGAGGCTTTACAATGGGACCCTCCTAGCAGGCAACGACAATGCGGTGAAGGTGCTGTTGAAGAAAATCGACGTGGCCAAACCCGGGGATTTGGACAAGGTGTTTGGGATGCTCCTACAAATGACCCTCAAAGGCCGCCTCAACGACACTGTCTTGAAGAGGAAGCCCATGGTTAATTTTCCGACGAATGGGGTGAGTCCCCTGAAGAAGATGACAGCGAAAAACGCGCCGCAGATCACGTTCGGAGTGCCTGGGAGTCCAGCAACCACTTGGGCGACGATGCTCACTCCGAATTTGTACGTTGGGAAATGGTTCACTGTGCATGGCGTAAACTACTTCATCATTTAAAGCCAGCAGGCAAAATAGTGACCCCCCCCTTCTAGTTGGGTCCACTTGAAGATTAAGTATTTTACAGTGGAAGGGCGATGCCCGGAACAGTGTTTTACACAGCCCATCGTCGTTCCAGTTTTGCTTCTTCCGAGCACGATTTCAAGTTGGATCCGCCTTCACTATTTTATATTTCTGTTGGTGTCCAACCCTGAAGGTATGCTGGCAACTGCCAAGCCGTATCAATGGAAGCAGCTGAGGAGGAAGCAGACCTCAAGTTGTGCTTGAAGGTGTCTTTTTTTATGTGATGTTGCCTGCATAGTAATGATTCAGAGTGCCGATTTTTATTTTGAATCAGTGAAATGCAAGCCTGTTCATTAGGGAGAGGAGAGTGCTTGATACACAATCAAGCATTGGGTGACAACTAAAGTGGATTCTATCTGGCCAACACAGCCCCTATACAAACATTACCACGTCCCAAATGGGAGATACATTTCCCTAAAACACCTCTCAGACCAACCTCAAATGTTGCCCACACAAATGAAAGTTTTCCTACGTCATCTCCTATCAATTGTTCAGAAATGCACACTATTCTGCTACATCAACTGCATTAGGGACTGTACCCAGTTTCTGGCGAGTCGCATCCAAACCTCCAACCATTTGCTTCACCAGTTTGTCTCACTGTCCGCCAAGCCAGCTCACAATGGCCCTGTTCGACAGCGAGGGTAACCCCGCCAGAAACGCTTTGAGGTGACCTCGTTGGTTGGGCGGGAAACGGTTTGCGACCCCCTGCGACGAGTCATAATTCCCGCCAGCGCGAACGACCCCCCTGCGATGTCCTTGGTTTCCCGCCCAGCTGCTAAAACATGGCGGGAATTTTAACGGGGTGGTTTGACACCACAGCGCGCAGTAACAGTGACTGTCGACTAATCATTACAGCCCATCCCTGGTAAAATTTCAGACCATTACCAGACCATTGCCAATGTTACTTTTCAAATAAGTGGCCCCAATGCCAGACCAATGGGCTATTTAGGGATAGTCGCGCCAAACAAAAGGTATAAACCAGTTGCACCAAAAATCCTTTCGACACACCTAACTAATGCTGGAACCGATCTGGAATACTCTATACATTTTCAGCACAAACATTTGGGTGGGGCTTTTGTTTTTACGTAGACCGTCGAACCCCCGGGCAGACCCCGCGGCTGGAAACAGTCCGCTTCAAAGGGCCGTTGAGGTGGAGCTTTTCGACCACCTTGGCCGTCTTCGGGTCGGCCAAAATGATTACACTGCCGGCGCTGTCCTACCACTTGCATTTTGTCGCGACGCTGAACCATTTGGGCGACAGAGCCAAACCAAATGGTTGCATCGTGGGGGCCCCAAAGTGCTATCGAACAGGGCCTTGAAACGCCTCGTTACCAGAATAGATACGTGGCAAGCGTGCTTGCACAGAAAGCTACAACTACAGTAATTAGAGTCAGCAACAGCGACGCGCGATCTGGTACAATCGGCCTGGAGCTGGCCCATTCGAAGTTGTTTTCCGGGTGTTTGTTTCGTCAACCAGGTAAACCCGAGTCTGGTCTAAAATCTTCCCGGCCAATGTCGGCGTTGGATGGAAAAATCACGAGGGGATGATACTTTAAACGAACAGGGATCGATCTCCGTGCTTATACCTGTTTTGCAGCGAAGGTGGGGAAGTGGGGTTGAAGACTTGCTTGGTGGGGTACGACGTAAGGTGGCATAACAATTCGCGTCTGCACACCACCATAACAATTCGCGTCTGCACACCACCATAATCTCGTTAGGGGTGGGCTGAGATCCGTACGTCGCGCGCCACTCCGCCACAAGCCGGAAATCCTGCTAGTGCCAAAACGCGATACGAACGCCACACGTCACCACGCCCCCAGCCGTGAAACTTGCTAGCACCAGGTCGCGAAGCGTGCGCCACACGTCACCGCGCCCCTAGCCGTGTCTCGATAGCAGCAGGTCGCATAGCGTACACCACACGACACATTGCCCCCAGTCGCGAATTCAGCTAGCACTAGGTCGCGAAACGTAAGCTTCACGCCAACGCGCCCACGGCCACGAATCCCGCGAGCAACAGGTTAGCGCAGCGATTGCTTCACGCTACCCTGCCCACAGCAGCGATTCCACGTAGGAGCGCGTAGTGAAGTGACGGTTTCACGCCATAGCTGCGATTTACGCTAGGAGCAGGGACCCAAGTGGACGGTTGTTGCTTTCGCCCCTGACGCCACGACTCACGTTAGGAGAAGGATCTGCAGTGGACGTCTTCGCGTAGCCGAGTGTGCAGCTGGTTTTCCCTCGCTAGGAGCAGGAACTGCAGTGTGCGTTTCCTCGTTACCACGTGCACAACCAGGTTTTCCCCGCTTGGAGCAAGATTAGCAGTGTTCGGTTTCTCGCTACCCCGCCACACGGGCACACCGGGCTCTCTTGTTGCTAGGAGCTGGAACTGAAGAGCGCGGATCTAGACAGGCGCTACAGGATCCACGGCATGGCCGACTTGCAGCACGAGCACACACCTACGCAGGCACCGCATGGCGAGGCGGAAGCACTTGCTGACCCAGACAGGCACTCAGGCACTAGCGCTCGGGAGTATGTAGCGCAGCCCCAAGCAAACACTCTCAAGCGGCCTTGGGTAGGCCCTACGCAGCCACTCCTCCTCGGTCTCCGGCGCCTGAGCTCGGTAGACCGACTTTGCTCGGAGGGGACACCATGCAAACGACACCGCGAGGCACCAGCCGCCCCCATGAGTACCAACGACATGCTCGGTGTACCGCCGCTCTCAGGAACTTCGCAGCGGCTTAGTAATGGGGATGCTCAGCCTCCTTTGGTTGAGGCACCACTCACGGTTGGTGAACAGCGGGAGGCGGCTGTTACCCCACGCACGCCCTCGGTAGACCAGCAAGCATCGCCCAATTGCCCACACGCATCCTCTGGGCTGGTGGATGCACAAGACACCCGAGGGGTAGATGGGCGTGGGCAGGAACCAAGTGATCCGGGGATGGACAGGGCAGTGGCGGCGTGGGAGGCGCAACGCCGGCACTTGCAGGAGCTGCATAATAGGCGGCGGCGCGAGCTTCCACTTGGTGCCACGGCAACAGAGTCGCCCGGCACTCTTGGAGCTTCAGTGGGTCCTAGCAGGGCTCCACTTGGACCGCGCTTGGCACGACGGCAGGAGCTGAGGCGTTTGTTGGTAGCTGGCACGGGCGGTCGGCAAGAGTGGGCGACGGCAGAGCAGGCGGAGTCGACAGCGGGGAGGCAGGAGGTGCAGGGGGCCCTGCTGGCGGATGAGGGCCGGGAGTGCGGGGCAGGTGGGCAGCAGGGGGTGACGGATGCAGGCCTGCCGGAAAAGGTGCTGAGGAGGCAGCCGAGCCGTCTGGCGGAGGGCCAGCTGGGCCTGCCGACAAAGGTCCAGGGGGAGTTACTCGAGGAGGAGCATTGGGAGCGTGGGGAACAGGGACGGAAACTAGGGAGGGAGCAACCGGAAACGCTGTCGGCGATGCAGCAGGGTCTGCCGGTGGCTGCAGGGGAGACTAGAGACATCAATCCCTTCCCGAAGGCACGAACGGGGGCGTCTCTAAAGGGATGGGCTGGAGCTGTGGAACATACTTTTCTCTTTCGGAGCGCGCAAGGACAAGGTGCGCAGCCCGCGAGCACGGGGCAAGAGGGCGTGCGCCGTCGTGGTCGAGGTCGCGGTCGTGGTCGTAGCGGGACTGCTCAACGAGGGCGCCTCGCGGGCCAGCACGAGCAACAGTCGGAAAGGCAGCCAAGTGAGTTGCAGGAGCAGCAGTTTGAAAGGCAACAACAGCGGAGTCAGCAGGGTGGGCTGCCTCCCCGGCAGCATGAGCAGCTGGGCGAAGGTCAGCAGGGATGGCAGCCAGGAGAGCAGCAGAAACTGTGGCTTAGGGAGCAGCAGGAACTGCAAATGAGGGAGCAGCAGGGAATGCAGCCAGGAGAGCAGCAGGAACGGCAGCCAGGGGAGCAGCAGAAACGGCAGCCAGGGGAGCAGCAGGACATGCAGATAGGGGAGGAACAGCAGGAAATCCAGATGGGGGAGCAGCAGGCACGGCAGCCAGGAGAGCAGCAGGAAATGCAGATGGGGGAGCAGTTGGAACTGCAGCCTGGGGAGCAGCAAGAGCTGCAGCCAGGGGAGCAGCAGGAAATGCAACGGGGGGAGCAGCAAGAAATGCAGCCAGGAGAGCGGCAGGAAATGCAGTCAGGAGAGCAGCAGGAGCTGCAGCCAGGGGAGCAGCAGGAAATACAACGGGGGGAGCAGCAGGAAATGCATCCAGGAGAGCAGCAGGAAATGCAGCCAGGGGAGCAGCAGGAAATGCAGCCAGGGGAGCAGCAGGAAATGCAGCCAGGGGAGCAGCAGGAAATGCAGCCAGGGGAGCAGCAGGAAATGCAGCCAGGGGAGCAGCAGGAAATGCAGCCAGGGGAGCAGCAAGAACTGAGGCTGGAGGAGCAGCACCCGGGAGAGCAGCAGGGGCAGCAGCTGGGCACCTGGGTGGGTGATACATGGGAAGTCATGGGTGTAGCGAGCCCACTTCGAGTGGAGCAGCAAGAAATGGAGACAGATTTGGTGCCTGTGTCACAGCTCTCGGGCCACAGTGGGGAGCACCAACAAGATCTTTTTGTTCCTCCTGGGGAGCTGCAGATAGGGGAAACGGATCAGAGAGGGCAGCAGCTGCGTGAGCTGGGCGCTCAGGCGCAGGGGCCCTTGGACGACCAACTGCCACGAGGCAAGGGCAGGAGGCGACGCGGAGGCCAGGGCAAGCAGCCGTCGGGCAATCAGCAGGATCAGCAGGCAGAGGGCGAGTTGGGGTGGCCGCTTACGAGCCAACGTCCGGGAGGCCAGCTGGTGCGACGGCGGCCACTGTCAGGGGAACAGGGAGTGACTGCAGCACCTGAGGGCGTGCAGCAGGCAGGGGGACAGCAGGGAGTGACTGCAGCACCCCAGGGCGTGCAGCAGGCAGGGGGACGACAGGGAGTGACTGCAGCACCTGAGGGCGTGCAGCAGGCAGGGGGACAGCAGGGAGTGATTGCAGCACCTCAAGGCGTGCAGCAGGCAGCGGGACAGCAGGGAGTGACTGCAGCACCCCAGGGCATGCAGCAAACAGCGGGACAGCAGGGAGTGACTGCAGCACCTGAGGGCGTGCAGCAGGCAGGGGGACAGCAGGGACTGATTGCAGCACCTCAAGGCGTGCAGCAGGCAGGGGGACAGCAGGGAGTGACTGCAGCACCCCAGGGCGTGCAGCAGGCAGCGGGACAGCAGGGGGTGACTGCAGGGGGTGACTGCAGCACCTCAGGGCGTGCAGCACGCAGGGGGGCAGCTGGGGGCGAGGGCAGCACTTCAGGGCGTGCGGCAGCGGCAGCAGCAGCGGCAGCAGCGTCAGCAGCAGCAGCAGCAGCAGCCCCCCCCGATTCCTCCGGAAAGCCCCACACCGGGGGTTGCGGAGAATTCAGCCACTCCTGACACGGCTCCACTTGCTCCAACTTGTGTCCCTTGCGAGTTCTGCTTTCACACATTTCCGCCTGGTGGTGCGGCCTCCCGCCACATAGTTGCATGTAAAGCGGCAGATGCTCAGCGGCGGGCTCAGGCCCTTACTTCCTCCCCGAACCTGAGCGAGGTCTTCGGGGCAGATCCAGTACCTCCGCGGGATATCGGCGAGGAGGTGTGGGGGGCGGTGCCTTCGTGGGACTGGGAGACTTTTTTCAGTATTCATTCTGTGTCGGGAGAGCTTCTTCGTCGGGTCCCGCAGCGGGCGCGACTGGGGGTGCTTGATGCATTGTGCTGCATTCTCAAGAGACTGAAGGCTTCCCCTGGGGATGAGGCGGCGACGCTGATGTTCCTGGCCTTCCCGCGCCTCATTTTGGGAGTCCCCGCGAAGGAGGGTCTTGGACGAAGGGCAGCCATAGTAGGGCGTCTCGGAAAGTTCTGGGCAGGGGAATGGCAACAGCTGTTCGAGGCTGCCTCTGCCGCGTTGACTCCGGCGGCGCGACCTCTTGCCTTCTCCTTACCTGAGCGAGATGCTGATGCCATCCGTTTGGCCCGATGTCGCACGAGGTGCCAAGTGGGGGAATGGAGTCGAGGACTAGCATGCCTTACTGCGGGCGACTTGGCGCAGCCCTCTCAACTAACAGTAGACCGGCTGACAGCAAAGCACCCGGCCAGTGAGGTGCCAGTTCCTGAGTGGGTGGAGCACTTTCGCATAGACGTTTCTCATCTTCCCCACCTAACTGAAGACATCCTCAAGCATGCTATTCATTCCGCAGCGCGAGCCTCAGCACCAGGCCCCTCCGGATGGATGACAGAGCACCTCCGAGACACATTTCTCTCGGAGCCTTCCTATCTCCCGCATCTGTTGGAGGTGTTCAGGCAGTGGATTTCGGGATGCGTTTCTGAGCGGGTGCGGCCCTGGCTTGCAGCCTCGAACTTGGTTGGGTTATCCAAGCCGAACGGGGACGTCCGCCCAGTGGCTATCGGAGAGGTGCTCCCTCGGATTCTGGCGCGTGCGTTATGCGTTCTTCTTCGTCCCGACATGGAGACCTACTTCGCTCCTTGTAACCAACTAGGGGTGGGGACTAAGTCGGGGGTGGAGATTCTGGCGCATGCTTTCCGCTCGGCTGTAGCGGTTCATCCGACGTGGTGCGCGCTGCAGATCGATGTAGCGAATGCCTCGTTCCATCGGCACGTGATGTTCGACGGCCTCCGCGATTCTCCTTTTGCTGGCCTTATCCCTTTCTTACGCGTCTTTTATGGGGTGCCCAGCGGTCTGTACCTTCGCACAGGCCCCTTTGTCGAGATGCTGGCGTCCGAGTGGGGTTCGCGACAGGGGGATCCATTTGGTCCCTTCCTTTTTGCTTTCACGCAGCAGTTGGTTATGGGGCCTACAATGAAGGATTTCCCTGATCTTCTTTTCTTGAGCTACGCTGATGACACCTACGTTCTTGGCCCGCGGGAGCGGGTGTTGGCGGCGTACGATGTCTTGCGGGAGCGACTGGAGTGGGTGGGCTTGGAGGTGCAATCGCACAAGTGTAGGATGTGGGAAAGAGGGGAGGCGGCAGCGTCTGGGGATATTCCGCTGGGAATGCAGCAGTCGTGGACGGGGTTAACAGTGGTGGGGGTACCTATTGGAGAGGAGGATTGGGAGGTGGCGCGCTTGAGGGAGAGACTTTTGCAGCTGCGATCACCTCTACCTTAGCTTCCTATTTTGAACCACCCCCAGATTGCCTCCCACTTGTTGGCTGTTGCCGTGTCTGCGCGGCCGCTCTTCTTGACTCGCACTGTTCCCCCTCGTCCTGAGGTTCTTGACGCTTTCAGAGATTGGGATGGGGCTTTGGAAGAGTGCTTTGAGCAACTTTTCCCGCCAGACACTTGGGACTTCAGTCCTGATAGGTCGCGCATGGCTCACCTGCAGCTGCACCTCCCGGCTCGTTTGGGCGGGTTTGGCATTCGTTCAGCAGCAACTCTTAGCCCTCTCTCTTACGTCTGTGGGTGGTGCCAGGCTGCGAGTGTTGTTGTCAAGCTGGGAGTAGCGGGCGAGGAGCAGATGTTCAGTGAGTTCTTCCGCACTCCGCCGGCTGGGGATTTACTGGACCCTTGGTTTACCAAGGCCCTTGACCAGCTCCCGCCTGTTGTCAGGCAGGAATTGCCGAGTTTGGGGCTCTGCACTACAAATCCCCCCCTCCAGCTTTTCCCAGCGCAGCAGCGTCGCTTGGCGGTTGAAAGTCTTCAGTCTCTGCGGCGCATGGCCCGCGATGATGCTACCTTGGCCCGTTTGACTTCCCTTCAGGGCCCGGGTTCGGCAGCATGGGTGTCCGCAGTTCCAGCGCATGATGACGCAACTTTCACCCCTGTGGAGTGGGGCATTTCGGCGGCAATCCGTTTGGGCCTTCCCGTCCACCAGCTTCTGGTTGCTGGCAAGTGTGTTTGCGGTGTGGAGTTCAAGGACCCGTCAGATCCGCACCATGCTCTTCGGTGCAAGTACCAGTACGCCCCGTCTCGTGTTCATGATGCAGTGAAGCTCGTTGTTGCTAAGATAGCCAAGGCATCGGGTGGGGTGGTTACGATCGAGGATGACACACTTCTGCCGGGGAAGAGAGTGGATGTGGCGGTTAGGAACCCAATGGACGGGGAAAAACATGCGCTCGAGGTGAGCGTCGTGGATCCGGTTTCGCTACCGGTGCAGCAGCATGGGCAGTGTGGGCGGACAGTAGGTTTTGCTGCCAAGGAGCGAGAGAAGAGGAAGGCGACGGATTATCAACCTTTTCTGCGGCAGCACAGGGGGGTTCGTTTCTTCCCGTTGATTCTTGAGACTTGGGGTTGCTTGGGGGGAAGCTTTCGACAGTGGTTACGGCAGCAGGGGGAGGTTCAAGTAAAGGTGGCTCTTAACAAAGGTGTGGGAAGGGGCAACAGCTCGGGTTTCTCGGAATACTTGGTGGGGTCCTTGACAGCCGCGGTAGGGGTAGCTTTGCAGAAGGCACAGGCTCGGGTGATTCTTTTGCGGGCGGCATACACGTTGGGTCAGTCCGAGGCGGAGTGGGTGGAGCGAGGGGGTGGGGAGCAGGAGTTTGGAGAGGGAGCACCATGGGTGGACGTGCCCTACTTGGTCGACATGCGGCTGTAGATGTCTTAGGAAGCAATACTTTGTTTCGGGTTTTGGCGATGGTCTTTTGATGTTTGAGGTAGTAAGACACTTCTAGGAAAGGTTTATGCATGTCTGTATGCTTGTTGAAATGTAACGAAGCATGATTCAAAAAAAAAAAAAAAAAAAAAAAAAAAAAAAAACTTAGAGCGTGTCACAACCCTGCAAAGCTGGAGTGTTTGAAACATAGCAGGGCCAAAGTGGATTCTGCTGACATTTTTGTTTCTACACCCAGATTATCCTAGAACCCTGAAACACAAGAGCGGCTAAAAACGGCAAGTCTCCCGTTGGGGAGCCACCGACAACTTACATGTTATTCACTATGTGAAAATGAACGAGGAATGAAAAGACTAAGGGAAAGTTGGGTACAAGTACAAACCCTAGAAAGCTGTACCCCATATGTGCTACCCCACTATAGCCTACAGCAGCTAAGTCATATAAATCTGACACACTATGCAAGACCTTGTCTGTCTTAAGAAAAAATGCATCTATCGAACTTATAATCTCAACGCTAAACAAGCATTGGGCTATTGAACGGATTTCTTTGGCTGTAGACTCACCCAACGAAGTCCAATATACTTCTCACGGAGCATGATTGAAAACATATTCTATCAAGCAAAACTGTTTTCCATCAAAGCCCGGATTGGACACTGAAATTTCGTTGTAAATCACATGTAAAAAACAAGTAAGTAGTCAAACGCACATTTGGTGTATCAAGTTCAGCTCTCAGATGTGCGCGGCCCCACGCAGAACTAGGCTCGGCAGACCTTCGTTTGAGGGGCGAAGGTCTGAAATGGACGGGCTTGCCCAAACCACGTCCCAACGTGGCTGCCACACCAAAGACAAGCGGCCCCAGCAGCTGCGATGCGGCCGAACTTCATTCGAAAGTTTTGGTCTTGTAGCGACGCTAGTTTGAATCTATCCCTCGTTAAAAGATGTTGGCTGCACCTTCGAAACGCGACGTGTTCCAATATTGCAATGTCGGATCGATTGATTCGAATGAGGCCGCATACACGTTTCTCTTTACACGCTTCCATTCCATACACCTCCATAAGAGACCAAACATTTACACGTTTCCATTCCATACACTCTACATTTAGGTTCTGCCGACTTGGCAGTACTGACCTGTTGGTAGATGTTGTTTACTTTTCCATCCGTCCCAGTGTTGCACTGTTAATTAAACCAAGGGGACAACACTAGGCCTATAAATCTCTATCTACTATATTCACCCAATTGCACGCATTACATCAACCAATCTCATCTTGATGCAAAAGACTTCATTAGGGCGGGTCAAAAGAGTACGTCCGATTGCGGTTCAAAAAGGTTAAGGCTTGATCCAGAGCGGTCTTTTTTAAACACGAGATGGTTGGGTAGGGTTTTCTGCGAAAACGTGCAAAGTTTGATCCGCCCTTCGCATGCAAATACGGTAACCAAGACATTCAAGATCAGCTGGTGACTTTCTAGACGAAACAGGCTGCTTCAGGAAGCAACTCGCCTCCCTTATACAATCTACACAGTTGCACCGGCAGAATGCTAGGGTGACAAGTGCAATTGTTGACACGAAAGTGGCCTTGCACAGAGCAGGAATGCTTCCTGCTGAAATCCACCTTTCTCAGACAATAATGCAGTAGTCTATCCCATGAACAGTAAAGTAGGGCCCACTGTACAACTTTGCCGTCACCACGTGAGTCCATTTGCCCGCGGGAGAGCCCGGAGCGCCGAAGGTAACAGGCGCCACATTCGCTGCTGACGTTTTCTGGATCTTTTTGCCGAGCCACGTGTCAAACTGCCGTGGGGGGAGCTTCTTGAAGGCCACCAAGTTCCACCGCCCGCGAATCGTCACGTACTGTAGCACCTGAAAGAGCTTGTCGAGCTGCGTTATAGGCACCTTCTGTAAGAGCACCTTCAGCGCGTCGTTGTTGGCGAGGAGAATGGTGCTGTTGTATACTTGAGTAATGTCGTATTTCTTGGGGGCCTTGGGTACTGGAGCAGTAACGGGGGAAAGAGAGAAAAGGAGCAGGCAGACACAACGAAGGGGAGGTAAACGATATTTGCACTTACGTCACGTTAAAAATCTGTTGTAAGCGGACTGTTCCGAAACTCCGCAGCAGTTGCAAGTAGAGGCATGGAGAGCTGTCCTCCTGTACTACGTCCCGCCGGCGACCACTGGGCCACAGAGATTTTCTGCCAGGCGGTCCGCTGGCAGACGCACTGTCGCTGGCGTCGGACGCCATCACGTGTGCTTCTCGACGCTTTCAAAGCTCCCCAAGAAATCAAGAACGGGGATATCCAAACGGGGAGCCCCCAAACTCAAAGAGCGGCACTCACCGAGTTCATCCCGATTATACCTCCCCAGCATGTATCCCCCGGCCTTCGGTCTCGCGCGAAATCGCAAAAACCGTCAGCGTGAAAACATTGAGTGACATCATGTCACTCGATGATTGACGAGAAACTTACGTAAGGTGCTCGCGAAGCTGGCAATCTTGGTGTAGTTTACGTTCTTCTTGATGATGGAAGCCGCGTATTTGATCTCTGTTATCATCTGGTCGCGGGTGACTGGCGGGGCCTTAGGCTTTTGCGCAAGATTTATACTTTCGATGCCAGGAAGAGCTGCCACGAGAAACAACGCAGAAGAAACGGCTGCTAGGCAGTCCAGTCTCCAGCTGCGAGGCCTCAGAGCGCAATACCCCAAGCGCGCCATTCTTTCTCGCGACGACGATGCGGCTCAGAGAGCGTTCCCGCTTCCCGCAGATGGAAGAGAAGAGCAAGAACGAGCTAGATTAGGGAAGACAGGAATGTTTGGCTAAAAGCTGTGATGCACTTAATGTTTATATACTCAGCAGAGCAAACCACTCCCAATCGTCGAGGTGAGGGTGAGGTGTAGTGATGGAATCTGGTGGGGAGGAGGTGGGGTGGGGTCCCATGGGAATTTGTGTGGTGGGATGAACAGCTGCGTTTCTTGGTTTGTGTTGTCGGTCGGTGGGCAGACAAAATTGTGCCGCTGAAAGATACCTAGTACAACTGCCCGTAGTCCTGACTGAAAGTACAGAGGATGTGAATACACTTCATTCTCATACTGAATTAAGGTATGGTAAGTACGTCCTATTGCTGGGCCTCTCCGAATTCGGAGTGTGCTGGAGTAAGTGAGGCGGGAAAATACCTGATTCATTAGGCCTTGAAGAGCAATGCTTAATGGGGAAGTTATTCAACTGAGGCAACTCGAACGTTCTGGATAAGGTTGCACGAAATATCTTCCATTACATTAAGCCTATGAATTAAGGTGTTTTACCCTCTTTTACAGCACAGTCACATGTTTTTCAAAGTGATTTTTCGTGGCCCCAGTGCCAAAAAGGCTTCTGGGCTTGCAGTTTACTTAAATCGGCATTCCCACCCTGTTGGAGGTCACCTCCAAAGTATTAACTGGCTTGCCCAAGTTCAGAGGAAGGTGCTACTCAAAAGCATACACTTAATCCACGACAAGTGAGCGGGTAGGGACTCCCATCGCAGGAAGCGATTCACTCCAACCCTTGTTGTCTCTCTTAACCAACCAAGGTTCCATACTTTCAGTACCATCCGTGGTTGTAGATGTGCCATTTTCGTACAATAATAATTAAACCTACACTGCATTTGTTGTTTTACTGCATCTGAAACACTGGGGTGGAAGCCAGAATGAGCTCTTGTCTTACAGGGTGTCCCAAAACAAAGTGAGCACCAACAATCAACTGTGCGCGTTGAAAAGGCAAGCAGGAATTCTTGTTTTGCGGATCGAGTCGCGAGCGCGTTGAAACGCTCGGCCGGTTCGGTCCAGGCTCGGAGTAGGGCTACGGTTTGTATCGAATAGTATGATTCGGTAACGCGTATGTCGGTCTGGTCTGGAGGATGACTTGGCGTGAGTCTGGTGGTGCATTTAGTACATGGCTTCACATAATGAATACAGAACAAATGGTAAAAGGCCACGGAATGCAAAGTGGCCTACCAAGTTATGGCTGTACGGTAAGTGGGACATTGAAGATGCTCACAATCATTGGTCTGGGATATGTTTTAGCATATATACTAGATTATGTCTAAAAGTATAATTTAGTGCATTGAATTCTATGCAGCAAAACAATTCTAATGAAATTATTACCGTAGTTTGATCTTGTTTTCTACAACACGGAACGCTAACCACCTGCCTGTTTTAGCCCCGGTTAGAACACCCCAAAACTCCCCAAATTGTTTTGAGGATGCAATGGAAGTGTTTATTCCGTTAAAACGGGAGTACACATTCAAATAGGTAAGCAAACAGGAAGTAAACGAGCAGTTGAGTACGGTGCATCACGTTGCGGTGGTATGATCAAGGGGTTCCCGTTCTCGAAGTTGTCGTCGGACAAACGGTAACGTAGTTCTCGATTTCCCTCACAGGCTCACACCTACAGCAGAGCCTCTCCCGCACCCATTCTTCACTCGCCGGATCTCGTCCTGTTGCCATAGATTTGCCCCAAATCCCGAGGTCTGGCTCACCTGGTCTCAGTCCTCCCTGGTCTTCACGTCAGACCTTCCTCGTCTCGGCCAGTCTTTCTCGGATAGTGGATCTGGTGAATTTCTCTCCTGACGTGTTTGTTCCTTCAGTTCCTGTCGGGTCCCTTTTATTTTGTTTCTAAATTCGATCCTCAGTCGTCTTATCGTAGATCGGAATTACCTCTACTGTCCGAGCTCAGCCGTTCCAGGCTCGCCTTATCATGGCGTCCGCGGCAGCAACTGCGACAGCCATGGACTTGGTCGCTCCTAAGTCGACCACTCTCGTCGATACACGTCACGATGCTGACGTGTCCCAGGCTGACGAGGCCGGCCTGCACGAAGATCTTTACGCGCGGCTCAAATCGCTCCAACGCCAACTGGAATTCGTGGAAATCCAGGAGGAATATATCAAGGACGAGCAGAAGAATCTTAAACGTGAGCTGCTGCGCGCGCAGGAGGAGGTGAAGCGGATCCAATCCGTCCCGCTCGTGATTGGTCAATTCCTCGAGATGGTCGACGCGAACGCGGGGATCGTCGGATCGACGACCGGGTCGAATTACTACGTCCGGATCCTGAGCACGATCAATCGCGAGCTGCTAAGGCCGTCGTCGTCCGTCGCGCTTCACCGGCACTCGAACGCGCTCGTGGACGTGCTGCCGCCGGAGGCCGACTCGAGCATCTCCCTGCTGAGCCAGTCGGAGAAGCCCGACGTAACTTACACCGTGCGTACTGCGGGAGGGGAGAGGGGGAGGGGGGGGAGGGGGGGGGGGGGGGGGGGGGGAGGGGGGGAGGGGGAGGGGAAGGGGAAGGGGGGGGGGATGAGATGGGAAAGTGGCGGAAGTGCCGATGCGAGGATGAAAGAATTCAATGATTTGTGATTGTCAATGCACGATGCACAATTTTCATTATTGTTGAAGGGGTAGGTGTCGATGCGCTCTCGGGGCGGGGTGTGGGTTAAGGTTAAGGCCCTTTACTTTCTAGAAATCGAGGTTAAGGCGTATTTCAGAATTAGGAGATTCGCGAGGCAGTAAAGCTTCCGGTCACTTCCCCATGTCCTACTCCCCCTCCTCCCTTTCTGCAACCTCCCTTCCCCTCCTCCCCTCCGCGCAGGACATCGGCGGGTGCGACGTTCAGAAGCAGGAGATTCGCGAGGCGGTGGAGCTGCCGCTGATTCGTCACCTCACCTCTCCCTCTTCTACTCTCCGTCCCCCTTCTCCACTCTTCCTCCCCCCCCCCCCCCCCCGCCCTCCCCTCCCCCCCGTCCGCGCAGGACATCGGCGGGTGCGACATTCAGAAGCAGGAGATCCGCGAGGCGGTGGAGCTGCCGCTGACGCACTTCGAGCTGTACCAGCAGATCGGCATCGACCCGCCACGTGGCGTGCTGCTGTACGGCCCGCCCGGCACGGGCAAGACGATGCTGGCCAAGGCCGTGGCGCACCACACCACGGCGGCGTTCATCCGCGTCGTGGGGTCGGAGTTTGTTCAGAAGTACCTGGGAGAGGTGCGTGGGTTGCGGGGGGGAGGGGTAGGGGCAAGGGGGGCAGGGGGTCAGGGGGGGGCTGGCCAAGGCCGTGGCGCACCACACCACGGCGGCGTTCACTTCATCCGCGTGGTAGGGTCGGAGTTCGTGCAGAAGTACCTGGGAGAGGTGCGTGGGCGTTGAGAGGGAGGAAGGGAAGGGAGGGGGAGTGGGTGCGTGATTGTGTTGAGTGCGTGGTTGGATAGGGTTACGTTGGTCCAATCCGCGTCGTGGGGTCGGAGTTTGTGCAGAAGTACCTGGGCGAGGTGCGTGGGCTGTCGGAGGGGGGCGGGTTGGGGGGGGGGTGTGGATTGTGCGTTGATTGTTCGTGCAAAAGTACAAGGGAAGATGAGTGGGTTGTTGTAGTGGGGGGGGGGGGGGGGGGGGGGGGGGGGGGGGGGGGGAGGGGGTTGCGTTGGCGAGGCTGGATGCATGGGGTGGGTTTGTGCAGGCTCGGGGAGGTGCGTGGGCGGGGTGTGAGGAGGGAGAGGTGTGTGTGTGAGCTTGGTCTCTGCGGGATGCAGGAGATGTGTGTGTTGGGCTGTGTAATTCCGTCCGTGCTCGTTTGCGTGGGTTGGTCGGTGAGTGGTTCTAGCATTTATGGCTTGTGTGTTTAATCAATAGTCGCACCACCTTTCCTCCCCCTCTCAGCTTTCTCCCTTCCCTCTCCGCTTCCTTCCTTCCTTCTCCCCTTCGTTTCTTTCCCCCGATTCTCCCACCCCCCCTCCCCTTCTCCGTTTTCCCCCTTACTTCTCCCCCCCCCCCCCCCCCCCCGCCGCTTTGTCTCCCGTCTCTTCCCCTCTCCTCGCATCAGCAACCTCCTCACCATCCCCCCTCCCCCCTCCTCCGTTTCCTTTTCCTTACTGCTCCCTCCCCCCTTTCCCGCTCCTCCTTTTCACCTTCGTACTCCCTCCGTCACCCACCTTCTTTTCCTCCTTCCCCCTCCGACTTCCTCTTTTTCTCCCTTCCCCCCCCCCCCCCCTCCGTGCAGGGTCCGCGCATGGTGCGCGATGGGTTCCGCCTGGCGAAGGAGAACGCGCCCGCCATCATCTTCAGCACAACAGCCGCTTCTCACACTCCAGTCTCCCCCACCCCCACTCGCTCCCCTCCTCTCCCCACCCTCCCCGTTCCCCCCTTCCCCTCCCTGTCTCCACCTTCCTTCCCCCCCCCCCGTCCCTGCTTTCTCTTTCTCCCCCTCCGCACCACCTTTTTCCATCTCGCCCCCTGGGTCCGCGCATGGTGCGCGATGTGTTCCGCCTGGCGAAGAAGAACGCGCCCGCCATCATCTTCATAGACGAGAGTTGCCACTCACACTCCTATCTCCCTCCCCCCCACTCGCTCACCTCCTCCCTCCACCCCCCTCCCCCCTCCGCTCTTCCCCCCCGTATTCTCCCTCGCCCCCGTGTCCTCTTTCTCCCCGTCCGGGCCCCGAACCCCCTTCTCCCCACCCCCCGCCTCCCGCCTTCCCCCATCCGCAGGGTCCGCGCATGGTGCGCGACGTGTTCCGCCTGGCCAAGGAGAACGCG